CTCAAAATCAAAAGAATTTATATTTACTACACTTCACACCAAATTCTCCCACGGCAAGGGCCTTCCATTGCACACCGGTTGGGTTGACCTTTGCGATCGCCATAAATGGGGGCGACTTGGGTGCGCCATTTCTAAGTGTGGGATCTCTGTTCAAGCTCACCCCGATAAACAAGTCAAAAAACAGATTTTTTTTTTATTTATAAATAATTTCTTGTAAGTACCGCGAATATAATCCGCACTTACGAAATGTGATTTTTTTTGGTATTTTTTCATTCTGAAGATTAGAGTTGTTGCGAAGCAAGCTAAACAAATCTTATTTTAAAATTTATAATTTTAAAAGAGTGCCAAAAATTTAATAACAAACAAACAAATTTTGATTTAAAATTTATTATTTCTTGGATAGATTAATTTTTGCGATACGTAACTTTACATCATTTTGGGGGAATTAACAGAAAAGCTTCAGGGGATGGATTCATGCCTTTCCCAAGAGAATTTGTGCGTAAGTTAATATAACGAACTCAACTAGAATTCGAACCCGGCTCACGATTTTTTCATTCCAAGCTGATATCCATTACACCAAAACCCCTAAAAGCGAGACATTTTATACTTAGAGATTCTTAGTAAATATTAATCAAATATCGGTGCCTAATGTCTTTTTCCGCGTTCCTTGATTTATCGTAGGTCTATATGCAGTGGACAAGGTCGGAAATAGAAAGACATAACTATTTAATTTACTGCAGATGCACTATACATTCCTGATAATAGATTTTATTATGCAGTTGATATTAGTAAAACCGGGATTGTAAAAAAAAATGCAGGGTGAACTGATATTTATACATTATAAAAACAAATGGTTACAATACAATGTCTGATGAGTTTAAATCTTTAGCAAGAAATCTGAAGTTTGTTCAGCGTATTGTAAATAATATAGATATTATTAAATATTGTTTTTTTTTAAATTTCAGTGATATAAAACTTGAGTGTTAAGAACAATATAACAACAAAGGAAAAAGAATATACTATAAATTTAGTGAGTGATGAGAGCACAACAATTGAAAAATTTTTATGTTGAATAAGGCAGAAAGAAATGAAATATTTTGTCAAAATAGGGACAAGAAAATAAAATTAACAAGAATATCACAACTTAACAAGAACAAACCAAAACTTTGCTACAACAAAACAAAACGCCTGTTCAATGACTAAAGAAGATGAAAATAAAAAAACAAAGCAAATGAAACAAAACCAGAAAGATGATAGGACTATATACGAGCACACCTTTAAAACATCCGATGGTCAGAGATTGGCGACTGATCTCTCTTCCAATCTTGTCCAAACTACCCAATGGGGTAAAAACTGACTAGTTACATTCAATACCTCGAAGACCAAGTTATATTTCATCTTCGCCGATCTGAACCCGAACTGCCACCAATCAGGATGAACGGATGTCCTATCGAGGAATCACCGTGCTTCGAAAGACGATTGAGTCTCAAACTTTCACCCAACCTCAAATGGAACTTGTACGTACGATCCATTACTAAAGATGCAGGTAAAATGGTCGGCTCTCTGTGCTGCTGTGCTGTAAATATATGACACCTCTTGTTATCCTCTGCCTTTACAAGAGCTAGATCACAAGATCTCCAGTTATGGAATGGCTGAAAGGGTCATCTCGGTCATAAAATCTTTCCTAACCGTTAGCTCCCTGAAGGTATTTATTAATGGCCAGTCCTCCTGAGCCCTAATGGTCAATGCAGGCATTCCCCAGGGGTTAAAACCAACCCTCTTTTTGATTTACATAAATGATCTGCCTAAGAATATACCCAGATCATTTGTTAACATCTATGCCGATGATAGGACTATATATGGGCGCACCTCTGAAACTCATGATGGCCAGAGACTGGCGACTGATCTCTCTTCTGATCTTGCCCAAACTACCCAATGGATCAAAAACTGTCTGGTTACATTCAATGCCTCGAATCTTGTTGCATTTCACCAGCGCCAGTCTGACCCCGAACTGCCACCAGAAAAGGAAAGGAAACATAAAATGAGAAGGAAAAAAATTCAAAGACAGACACCTACCTCAACAATAAAAGACACCAAATTGTTCTACAGGGTGCGATGGATAGATTCACTTTGTCAAAATTACGTAAAAATGAAAATAACACTGATATCTCATTTTAACAGATATATTTACCAAAATTACATAAAAAAAATATCTTGAAATACTAAAAAGTAAATGTATTCAAAAAAAATCGCCATTGGATTCAACCAGGACCTCCAGACGACTTCGGAATCTCCTGCATCTCTTCTGGACGGTCTCCTTGTTTAACTTGGTGAATGCTGCTATAATCGGTACCTTCAGTTCATCTTTGCCGTTACAAGGAGTTTTATTGGTCTCTCTCTAAGCTGCGCCTCTGACATAATAATCATAGGGGTTCAGTCTGGGGAGATAGGTGGCCAGATGTAAGGAGTGTGTCGTCTCAGAAATTATTTTACAGCCATGACGAGTTTCTGCTGCTTGGGTGGTGGATGGTACAGAGTACTGTTGCCAGACATAGGGTTTTCCAGCTCCCACCACATTTCATCCATGGCAGCACTATCTTCTCAAGGAACTTGATGTAGACCTTCTTGTTGAGTCTGAGGCAATCACCAACAAATTCGGGAGTTATTTTATTATCAGAAAAATCAGAGTAAGATTTCCTAGCTGCCGTTAGACTCATTCATCTCTTTTAGAATTCTTTTCACTGTCCTCAGATTGACACACAAAGATTAAAATGTTCGTTTTGGACCTTCCGGCGCGAATGGCAAGCAGTAGAGCATGCCGTTTTCAAATTTCTAGCAGAGTCAATTGTATCATAGTGATTTTTTCTCACAGCCAGTGCCCAACTAACCCTACTATACTGTGAAAAATAAAAACTAACAACGTGCAAGCTCGAAATTAAAATATAAAATGGCGGCAATTAACCTATCGCATCTTGTATGCCTAAACTACTCAGAAAAAAATAACGTTCAAATTGCATTCTGAAGTTTATTTTTATAAAGTTTTTTTTTTGATTATACATATATATATATATATATATATATATATATATATATATATATATATGTATGTATGTGTGTGTGTGTGTGTGTGTGCGCGCGCGCAAATATATAGAAAAATAGGAAAGAACTCGTTAGGTAAATAATCCGAAGTTCTTTAGTATTTTTGTTTTTATTTTTAAAAAATAGTGCTCGATACAAAAGTAGAGCCTAAACTATAATTATTTTTAAAAATATGATTCCTTCATATATTTAAAAAAAATAATTATAATATATATATATATATATATATGATTCCTTCGCATATTTTTGAAAAATAATTATAATATATATATATATATATATATATATATATATATATATATATATGTATATGTATGTATATATATATATATATATATATATATATATATATATATGTATGTATATATATATATATATATATATATATATATATATATATATATATATATATATATATATATATATATATATATATATATATATATATATATATATTTAATATGGCTTAATTTTGGGTGTGAAATAAAGACAAAAATTGTGTAACATTTGGATATAATTTATTATGCTTTCCTTGATTTAAGCTTTCGGCTCACATGAGCCATCTTCAGTGCTTATATGGACATTTAAACAAAGATATTCACCATCGAAGATGATATTCTGCTATGTTAACATCGACGATTCTTATGCGACGACTAAGATAAGTTTTCCTTTTCTCTTTACATAGAATGTGGGTGGAAAGTATCTAAGCATTAGAAATTACTTATAGAATTTTTAGTACCACGGAATTCCTGACGAAAACATTTTTTAAACAGACATACTAATAAGGATTTCTTATTTACGTACAGCATCTAAAACCTGAAGACTGTGACCGCAGACCGGAATATGGAGAGTACTCTATCTTCGCATGAAGATTGGCCTGAATTGTTTGAAAACATCCTCTGGAGTGTTGTGTGATAACGATCCGAACATGACGGTTGAAAGAATGCAAGTTCGACGAAAAGTGACCATGTGGTTCGGAATGACAGCAACAAGAATCGTCGGTCCATATATTCTGCATGACACCATGGAAACAGATCGCTATCTTCCGATGCTCGAAAATGATGTGTGATCCACTGTGTCTGGCCGGATAACGTTGTTGACCTGATATTCATGTTGGATGATGTACCACGCTATTTTGCTCTTACTTTGCATGTGTAGTTAGACCAACAATTTTCAGGACGTTGGATGGGACGACGCGGACCTCAAGAATGGTCTCCAAGAAGTCCAGATTTCACTCCATGCGAATTTTAACTGTGGGATTATACAAAGAGGTGGTTTAAAAGACAAAATTTCGCACACTGGAGGAATTACAGACACGGATTCAAGAGGTTCTCGATTATATCCAGACGACGTCGTTCAGAAGGTTGTTCATTCCATCCTTGGCCGTTTGAGGAAACAGGTTAAACACCACCAGTACTTACGTTGAAATATGAAGATTTACTGCCATTTTCCCATGTAATAAAGAACATGTATTATTTGTTTCAATAGTCTTGTAATAGGAATATGGATTTTATGACTAATTTTTTATGCCTACTTACGTTTCACGCACCTACACACACACAGATATATATATATATATATATATATATATATAGATAGATAGATAGATAGATAGATAGATATGTATCAAAGAACAAAGGGGTCAGCAGCGAGCGGCGACAGGGTGTTTCATGCTTGAACTCAATTCTAAAGATTGTGTTCAACCATGAAACAGATTGTTGGCTCTAAGTCTTGACTTCTTTTATATTTATAGAACTTTTACTTTGAACACTTTTTATAGCATATCTTAAAACTATATTTTATCACACAGGCATATATATGTGTATGCGCGTGTGTTGGTGCATACGTGTGTACGTTCATATCCTGACGATATAAACTATTTCCTTAAGTCTGACATAGGTTCAACAGAATGAGATAGATAGATAGATAGATAGATAGATAGATAGATAGATAGATAGATAGATAGATAGATAGAACAGATAGATAGATAGATGATAGATAGATAGATAGATAGATAGATAGATAAAGAATGAAAGGATGAGATTGATTGATATATGGAGAATGGAAATAGATAGATAGATAGATGAATAGGCTGTGATAGATAGATAGATGATAGATAGATAGATAGATAGATAGATGGGAAAAATGAGATAGATTGATAGATATGGAGAATGGAGATAGATAGATAGATATAGATATAGATATAGATAGATAGATAGATAGATAATCAGGATGTGATAGATTGATAGATAGATAGATGGATAGATGGATAATATAGATAGATATAGATAGATAGAAGGATGAGATATTGATAGATGAATGGAAATAGAATGATAGATAGATTGATAGATAGATGAACAGGCTGTGATATGAAGAATAGATAGATAGATAGATAGATAGATAGATAGAAGGGAAAGAATGAGATAGATTGATAGATATGAAGAATGGAGATAGATAGATAGATAGATAGATAGATAGATAGATGGGAAAGAATGAGATAGATTGATAGATATGAAGAATGAAAATAGATAGATAGATAGATAGATAGATAGATAGATAGATAGATAGATAGAACAGGCTGAATTAAACACATCCTGTTTCTCTCTGTTCTCCCTACAGAAGTTTTCATACATTACATTTACAACAGTGAAAAGAATCGCCATCTCAGACATCTCGTAGCGGAATGTTAAGATTCCTCTCCCATAAAATAAAGTGCTTCAGACTAAAATGATTTTATTGTTGAATATGATATTCAAATATTTCCATAGAATTATATTAGCTTGTTTATGAAATCTGACGAGCAAAAATATTTAGGATCCAATGAAAATGTCTTTGTTGGCAACAGAATTATAACGTCTGTCTTTACAAACAAAAAAAAAATAAAAAAGAACGCTTAGTCCATGAAGCTACTTATCAAACGCAAAACAGATCACAGTCGATCTCCAACAGAATTAGTTAAAGAGCTTTATACAGACACTCAAGTGTTGAAGATACGTTTTAAAGTGTCGAATAACATTAGTTCGATACTTCAGCATGGTGTAATGGTTAACAAGTTTGTAATGAGTTGAATCATTACTTTGCGCTTCTTAGTTTCGTCCCTGTACCACATCTAAATTATGTTTAGTAAATTCCTAATTGGATATAGACCAAGTTTTTGATGTAAAAAAACAAAACAAAATCGCATCGCAAAGTAAGATATATTCCCTACTTGAAATCTTTGAAACATAAATTTTAAATGAACATTTCTTTCATAAATTGACTTGTTATAGTTAAGGAAAGATTTACAAATAGACGCCAACTTATTGGATGAGAAGTAAAATGCAAATTTCAAACACATTTCTGCGCTATATAAGACAATATCCCTAAACAGAACGATTTTTGATATGAACATCAAAAAAATCCTCAAATAAAGGAACACTAATGAAGGACAGTTAATCAATGAAATTAAAGTCAATATGCAAATTATTTAAACCTGAATAGTGTTGTCGCCTAAAGGTAGATAATATAAAATACAGATATTGAACATTTAGCGTATAAATTAATATAAAGGAGAGTTGGGGATTTTGTAATCCCAGAATTCGTTGGAAAAATTGCCCTCTAAATTTGTATATTTCATATCGATTACATAATATAGGTTTTTATTTAAATAGCTATTATGTTTCTCTAACTTCTTCAAATGTTGGATGTATAACTAATTCTAATTTCTGTTTTCTCATGTTTACAGTATATTATTTTTATCTTATAAATTGTCCCCTGTTCGTTCACCAATGAAATAAAAATAATTGTTTTTACGGAAAATAAGGATCTATGTACATCAAATCATCTTTAAATTAAGTGGCAGCAGAATAATTATCGTTGAACTTTTAAAAGGTAAGCTTAAACATTAATTCAATATTTAAATGCAGCCATCAATTTTGAGTTCTTCTGTAGTTTATTGATGCCTATCACATGTACTCCTACCTAGCTATTTTGATGATGGCCAAAGCATATTCCTCCACATGAGCTAGATTAAATGTCAATAGGGCGGCTTTTAAGCCAGTTTATAATAAAACGTGCACTGCAATTTTGTATACAAAATGAAAAATAAAAGTTACTCCCCTTGAACCATGAAACAACGATAATGGATAGTATAGTATATTAATATATATTTTAATATCGCATAATCTGGCAACCCTGAATCTGAGCTTAACGAAAATCGTTCTCTGCGCTTAACTCTTCTAGGGCTATGAGTCATTGAACTCAGACCAGTGGGAGGGCAGGAGTTGCTTGGACACACACACACAAACACACAAATATACACTGTACTTTATATATAAGATAGCTATATTCTATAAAATCATTTCATTTCGTTCGTTCACTTTGTAAATATTTATTAGGGGCCTTAATTTTTAAATGTTGTTATTTTATACTCCCACCCCACACCAAATAAATTGTACATGCGAGGTCGTGTTGGGTCTTCATAGAGACTATGAGCTATTATGGTGCTTGTAGTCAGAATGGTGAGTAAGAATGTGGTGTTTTGGTGTACGGAATATTGTATAGTTTGTTAGGGTCAGTGATTGTAGCTAGCTAATTTTAAGATAAGACAAATGATGACTTTCTCAATTTTGGCATTGTGCCACATTTGTTTTTATTATAAAAAATAAATACTATTTGCTTTCGTTCCTGACCTCGAACAATAAATTTCTTCATAAATTTAAGTAAAGACATTGCAACGTTATTGCATTAAAAAAGAAGACAGACGGGAAGTGTGATGGAGTAGCGGAAAAGTCAGTGGGTAACGAGAGGAAAATCTAAATATTTGCCATTGCAATTCGAGTTCAAATGATATCATTGCGAAAATAAGCACAGCGATGAGTGTTTAAATTCTTGCCCTAGCATCTGAAATTGTAGTGTATCTATTTAAAGTTTCGAGTTAAAAAGTGTTTGACGATATTGTCTAATGTGTTCAACCTGTGCTATTATGGATTGTATAACCAACAAAACGAAACTAAATTATAGAGAGAAGAGATCATTTTTTTTGCTTCATAATACGCGGAAATTAACTTAGATTATGTTAAGGGGTCGTAAAAATGTTTTCTTAGTTCTGAAATGAAATGAGATTTATAAAAAAAAAAAATAATGTTCTCCAGGTCCGAGTGAACTGTCGGTTAACGGCCCGGAAAATAGACTCGCCTAAAATCCCGCCTAAATGTTTTTGCGTTTACATTGCACTAATTTCCGTGGGGAGAAGAATGACTTCTTTGTATCAGATTGCTATGTTTACATTTTTTAAATTCATGTCCCTACAGATCATTGTCGATCATGTCTCTCCACAGATTCCTTTTTTTTATCTGTTAAATCGCCATGAATATATGGTTAAAATCATGTCCCAGATATTTGATTTGTCTCTAATTTTCTTTATTTTTTGTGAATAAAAGTGTGCTGTTTTTTTTTTAATATCTTATGTCCTCTGTTGAATTCTCCATTGTTTTAACTTCAATGTTCTACTTTTCCTAGCATGGCTACAAATCAAAGCCAGAGAAAACTCTCTAACCTGCTGTTTATTCTTTATAGGGGGCAAATATTGGTTAATGCTTTTCCAGACAGTGTTTATGCGAAAGTGAATGCTACATACTAGATCGGAAATTGAACTTTCTGTACCGAGAACAATCATACTGTCCGCACATTCGTTTGGTTATAATAGCATTATGGATTAGTCTTAGAGAAGAAAAAGTCTGAATTCAAAACTGTCTAGAAAGTAAGAGAGAACCCCTCCAATTGTTTTTCCAAGAACAGTAATGGAAACGAAGAATCTTCATATATTAAAGGCTTGTTTCCCTGATAGCTATAATCTCCAACTGTTCAAATATAATGTCAATCGACGTCTCCAGATGCCTTGATCTATCCCCTATCCTTCTCTTCATCCTTTCCTCTATCACTCCTCTTTGCTCTCGCTCCAACTCTTTGTAACCTCTTGCTTGTCAGTGGCACTCCTGCCGCCTTGCTTGGGGTTAAATGCTTAAAAAAAAAAAGGATGCTGTGCAGAGTCATGATCTTCCACCTTCTGATGATTCATGACATTTAAAAAATCTTTTTATTTTTTTCTTTTAACTTCTGACAGGTGATTTCGGAGCTTACGTCCGTATCATGTTGAAACACCGATTTCCATACGATCACTGAAGTTACGCAACGTGGATACTGGTCATTACCTATATGGGTGAGCACTTGGGAATATCAGCTGCTGTAAGTTTGGATGTACGGGTGGCATATTTGATAATGACTCGGAATTGTTAATTCCACCTGGATTCATTACATTCACTTACACACAAATACCCTTGGGAAAGGTAGAAATTCATTTCATAGCTATGGATTAATTAGTAAGATTTGTATCGATAAATCATTATCATTTCAAAAAATCCTACAATCTAAAAATATTTACTGGCTTTAAATAAAATTAAAAGGGTTGATAAACCGTAGAAAATGAATGATGGCCTGACCAGGCGTAGCTCTAATCTCATTAGTCCAATCTAATTTATTAGAAATAGATTCTGCTAGTATCGCTTCTTGTTCTCATGCAGAGTGGAGTAATGGATAGCGACTCGGGTTAAGGAATCGGAGAGCAGAGTTCGAATTCCAGCCGAATCCATTACATTCACTTACGTGCTAATACCCTTGGGAAAGGTGTGAATTCTCTACTTCTCCCCTGCCTCAGCTATGGGTAAATAGAAGGACAGACCGGCTTCTATAGCCTTGGATGGCAATTGGTCTACGGCAGAAAGAAATGGCAACCGGGAAAATAATCTGCCTCGTCAGTCATGTATCGAAAGTTACATGATCGCGTGAGCGTGTATCACGCATGGTACATAACTGACTGTCCTCGCGCGAGAGATTTATGTGATCCAGTTTTGTACAATGTCACTTTGAACCTTACTGATCATAATGAGCTGTAACAAGTTGGCATGACGAATCTTCCGGTTGCAGGCGGGAAGAGATAATTATGTATCATACACCGGTTTCAGAAGTCGAAAAGCCAAATAAAAGCAAAAAAAGAAATTAAATGCTGATTTTCAGTGTAGACCTTCCCCTCCTAGGTGGACTGGTTTAATACACTATTCTCACTGATTCATTTCACTTGGTTTGGTACTAAACTACTTGTAATAAATGTAAATACCAATGTCTCTAGGTCAGCTTATTTCTTTAATTTGATGAGCGCCGTATCCTGTTTGAAAGAAAATGGCCGCTTTTAGTATTTGATCCGTTTTGACACTTGTCTGCAACTTGTATTGAACTCGTAGGAGTACTTCATTACTAAGTGAGCAAAGCAGCGTAATGATTTACTTTACCAAAATAGAGAGTAACTTCGTCGCTTACTGCGGTCAGTAGTCGTTAGTTTAATACATGCAATAAGATCGAAAGTGTAAATTCATTTTAATAGTATACGACATATATGTTCGAATCCCGGACAAGTTGGTTACCTTCAAGTCCAAATACCCTTGAGAAAAGTAATGAATTCAGCTCTGATTTCCCAGTTATGTGTTAAATAGAAGGATAAACTAGGATTTCTAGCCGTGTTTTGAAACAATCTAGGATAAGGATACCTCTGAATTCGAAACCGTAACGGAAATAATTACGGGTTGTCCTTTGGCATGATATAGCAACCTGAATTCAATCCTGCCGCGGTTACGGTGAA